TAAAATGTGCGTTGGGTACGGTTGTGACATGTGATTGTGGTTCTTGTCCTTTTTTGACGAAGATAGAGAAAAATACGAAACAGAAAAAGAAAGGAAAATTCAACACAAAAAAACAATACAAATCCTGGGGGTGTGGACGGTTGTGACATTCGCCCTTTTCATCAAATCTTGTATGATTTGATTTTATGACTAATCCATCGTATTTAAGGACAGTATACCAGTATGTCTAATAGCACAACCGTGCCCAGTTCCCCCTATAATAAGTTTCATTCTCTATGACTTCTAAAACAACTCAAACATTCACGACTATTGTACGAGTTTCAACCGTATGAATAACTTTATTTCGCACAATAAATAAGAATTCCAAGTGATTCGATGAATAATTGACACATACGCATATGATTCGAAGTATCCGATAATGTTAGCGATTGAACCGATATTCAACCTTGACCTATCCCATGTACTGAGGTTCGGAAGCAGCCCGAGGGACTTTGCCATCATTTCCCACAGCTCTCGCTCACTTATTCCAACAGATACACATTATGTGCATAAGAGCGGCGGTGCATTTCTATCAAATGACGTTGCTTATTAATGAGAAGACGACAACCTTAATTAGTCTCATTCGCGTACTTGCGTACCTACATATTACTATTACTATTACACTTGCAATTAGTACATTCGCATTTGCATGCGAACGACACGGTAGCAAACTATATAATACCTAGGATATCTAGGGGCTTATGTGACAGGGTAAGTAGTAACATGCGTTTTTAATAGGATCTTAAACAATATTAAAATATATTTTGTCCTAATTAGTAATTTGATATATAATGTCATAGCTTCAGTCCCGTTGGCCGAGACAATAAACAGAATCGTGCAGGTGCGTCATTTTTGCCAGGTAATATAAAATTGAACTATCATAAAACTTGCATTATTATTATCGAGTAATTTTAAAATAATGCAGTTCAAAATAATTGCAGTTTACATTAATTTATGCAACAAATTACTTAATTACTTAATTACTTCATGAATTAATTGTTATAGTTTTTGTCGTTACTTCTTGCTCCTGTGAATCACAACTAGCACTTTCACTAGAAAATAATTAATTTTGAAATAATTAACAATAGTTATGGAATTATTTTTATTGAATTTGTCAAAGGAGCATCTATTTATTAACTTCCCGTAGGGCAAGTTATAGTAATCGCAAAAAAATCGAAAATGAAAATTTTTATATATCTTTACGTTTCAAAGGTTTCTGAACATTTTGGCATACCTTAGAAAAAATGGATGTGTGTGTATGTATGTATGTATGTGTGCGTGTTTGTGTGTGTGCGGATACAAATTTTCGTCGATGATTTCGGGAACACGGATCAACCGATTTGAATAATTAAAAAAAACATTCGATTCGTATTGATAAGGTCTAGCCGTTCCAAAGATACGGGGCAAAAAGTGCCGAAAACGGTAACTCAGTTTTTAAGAGAACGGAGCGTCCGATTTGAATAATTCAAAAAACATTTTACTTGTATTGACAAGATGAAGAATCGATAAAATGGAGGAAAAAGTAAAAAAATGAGCCATTTGGCGGTCAAAAATGATCATTAGACATATGCACATCAAATTATCAGATATTTTATAGAGATTTTAACAATAAGTATACATTTTGTTAACATTCCTATGGGTTCCGTATCAATGCTTATGCGTTAGACAGCGACGCGGCGCTTACGCACTTTATATTTTGTCCCTATGCAGTTAAAGCAGTACGATTGCTTTGACAAAAAGATCAGATCTTCTACAATATGTCAAAATAAAGAAAAAAAATTTTTTTTCAAAAGAAAAAAAAATTAAAAAAAAAAATGTTTTTTTAAAAAATTTTTTTTTTTCAAAAAAAAGTTATTTTTTGTCCAATTTATAGTTTCTCAAAAATCTTATTCTTTCAAAGTAATTTTTTCTCAAAAATGTTAATCGTTTTTCAAAAAATAATAATTTTTGGTACGGGAAGTTCCAGCAATTTGCCCTAAGGCACGATGCCTTAATTGCCTTAAGACAGAATTCCACTTACAGCTAGTCTTTTTTTCATATTGAAAAAAAGAACTTTTACATCAAGCTCCTAGAACCTCTACATGTATTCCGGAACTCAACATGAAGCCGAAGCGGGGTGACAAGGATAATAGTAGCCATCATGAGAAAAATCAGAAAAAGGTGCGTATGGATATCAACATTAATCATCAGTATTTTATGTGATTTCGTTTTTATTGGAACCAAACAATCCTTTCATAACCAGTGTTTAGCGACACAAACATAAAATTGGTGGCAAAGATAATTTTAAAAAATCTGATTTCGATGTCATTTGAACTATTATTATTTTAAACCACATTGGATTAACATGACGACATTTTTAATACTTATGACTGTCATTGCAGAATAATAATGATAAAAGGCACAAAAAATTAATTGTGAAATAAATATTTACGATATAAAATATCAAAGATATATCGAAGAAGTAGAAAAGTCCGAACGATTACCTATAATACAAAATATGGGAAATACAGTCATCACTGTTTTTTATGCTTGATCTACAGTGGCTAAAACAGAAAGAAAAACGAAAATTGTACAATATTCTATATATGTACTTGTTTTTCTATAATAAAACAAGTTGAAACAAGTAAATACTATATATATCATGCATCGTGCATTTATTATAAGCATTATTTCATGAGCTATATATTTGCGTTCAACTGTTTTATAGGTCAATGAAGGATGATTAAAATATATGGAAAAATAAATATATATATATATATATATATATATTATTACAATTATTCTGGTTCTTACACAGATCGTTTCCGAATGTATAACAAAAAATATCATGTAATTCAAAACTTACTCTAAAATATTAACAAGGGTGGTACTGTCCTAGAGCTGAGTTATAAGTTATTAGCCATAAGTTTTTTTTATGTAATTACAATTTTGTTAATTACGACGTTTTAGAAAAGAAAATGAACATTTATTTATTAAATGAGTTGTAAGAAAATATTTTTGAAATCTTTTACAAAGATTTTTAAAACATAAACAACTTATCTAATAGTTTGGGGACTAAATCCTACTCGTGTAATTTCTTTAATATCTACAATTAAATCGGTCAATATTTTTTTGCTAATGTACAAAAATGTAAATAGACAAACATATTGCTAAATTAAAATATTAGTGAACGTATTCCAACAACTGTTAAACGGCAGCATTTGCGCACACGATAGTATTAAAATAATTGCATTATGAAGAAATAACAAACATTAATATATATATATACAGCTATGATTTTTTTTTCATAATGTTTAAACATAAAATACTAATAAATAATTAATAATAGATACTGAAGCATACAATAAATCCATAAACACATTTTAATTCCTCGAATCATAAGCACAGATTGTCGGTAGTTGTATTAAACATATTTGTCAGGATTTTTTTTTTAATTATTACTCCAAAATATTTTTGTATAAGTTTGTATTAACCTATAGCAAAGCTAAAAAAGATGATCGCTTTTTTTTAGCATCCAATTCTATGGATTAGGAGACGATCGACTTCTATTGATAAGGAGACGTTTCGAAAATACAGGGCAAAAAGTGCAAAAATGGTAATTAACTTCCCGTAGGGTAAGTTATAGTGTAATCGCAGAAAAATCTAAAATGAAAATTTTTATATATCTTCACGTTTCAGAGGTTTTTGAATATTTTGGCATACCTTAGAAAAAATGAATGTATGTGTGTGTGTGTATGTGTGTGTGTGCGTGTGTGTATGTGTGTTTGGATACAAATTCTCGTCGACGATTTCGGGCATACGGATGAAGCGATTTGAATAATTCAAAAAACATTCGATTCGTATTGATAGGGAGTCGTGCTGATTAGTTTTTGGCGAAGGCAGGTTTAGAAGATATGGGGCAAAAAGTGCCAAAAACGGTAACTCAGTTTTTAAGAGAACGGAGGGTCCGATTTGAATAATTCAAAAAACATTTTACTTTAAATATTAACAAGATAAAGAACTGATCAAATTTTCATGAAGGCAGGTCTAGCGGTTTCGGATATCTAGTAAAAAACGTAAAAAATATGCCATCTGGCGGTCAAAAATGATCATTAGACATATGCACATCAAATATCAGATACTTTATAGAGATTTTAACAATAAGTATAAATTTTGTTTACATTCCTATGGGTTCCGTACCAATGACGGCGGCGCGGCGCTTATGCGCTTCGATATTTCGTCTCTATGCAGTTAAAGCGAAGCTTTTACATAACTTTTGAAGCATTACGATTGCTCTGAAAAAAAGTTCAGAATTTCCAAAATATTTCAATATATACTTTTCTTCAAAAAGTTTTTTTTCAAAAAAAAAAGTAATTTTTTGTCAAAAATTTATAGTTTCTCAAAAACCTAATTTTTCAGAGTAAATTTGTTTCAAAAATGTTAATCTTTTAAGAAATAAATAATTTTTGGTACGGAAAGTTCCAGCACCTTGCCTTAAGGTACGATGCTATGCGCCCCACTAGTTGATATTTGTCCTAGAATATTTAATTTTGGTACGGAAAATTCCAGCAATTAGCCTTGAGGCACGATGCCCTGCACCAATAGTTCAGCAAACATTGAAAAATTCATTCAATTCCCATAAATCGTGTATCGCGTAAGACAAGATGCGAGAGGCGTGTGTCGCAAAGAACGATATCGATGATATAAATATTATCCGCACACATAATAACACTATGGTCAGCAAGATATCTGCTGGCTAAAGCGCGTAATCTTAAGTCGCGTAAATCGCACGTCGGCCGCATTGACACCGCAGAAGAGGACAGAGGACAAGACAAGCGCCACACGCACACAGCCGCATCCCGCAGGTTCGCACAAGTTCTGGACCATCGGGCGGACGCACACACCCGAACGCGACACGCCGTATAATAAAAACACGAGCCAGCACCGCGAACACCAGTTAACGATCATTCGCGCATCGAGGAGGATGCCTGTACGACCAATTTTTAGTTTCGATGTCTGAAAGGGAAATTTAACAATAACGTGATATATTGAATAATTCGAGTGCGTTTGGACTTTGTGATTTTGTATTATTCATATATAATTTTTGACTGTTGTGTTTTTTTCTCCTGTGATGGCTACTGTGGCCAATGTCTCCGACGAGAAGCAGGCCTTCATAGGGTTGTTAGGCAAGAAAGGCACAGTTGTTAGCGATGTGTCCAATGCCAGTTCATCCATGGATGATGTTGAGATGGGCAAAAGCCGAAGGAAGAGATTATTACAAAGAACAGCCCCTTGGATAATAGTACTTTTGGCCTTAGGTGCAATTGCAACATTGGTTTCATTGGAGATCATTAGGAGTAATGAATTGAAGAAATTACGCGCTGATGTGGATTTACTGAAGTCGAGACTATTAGATGAAGACTTTATTGATGACCTAAAGGCATTTGAGGAAGAGGTCAGTGAATCTATTTTTTTCTTTCCTCTTAAAAATGACCATACTAATAACATATTATTTTTCACATTATTACACATCAATTTTTCCAAACGAAATATTTGGTTTAAATTTAAAACCTTTTTTTAAAAAACAGCAAATTTTTTTTTTTGAATAAATGTTGTTTTTCATTTTAAAAGATATTTTGATACACGGTTCCACATTTAATATGATATTACGTGATTTCCAATAATAAAAATTGGCACAAGAAAATATTTTTGTACCAAAATCTGAATGCCAACAGATATTATTGTGGGAATTTCATGGGTATGACATAAGTGTAATATAGGAGATTAAATCTAATAATAGTGTTCGAATTGATTAATGTGAACACAAATACGTATAGTCAGTTATTAGATTGTCAAATAAATTAAATAAAAGCTCAAATACATTCGAGCTTTCTTTAGTTCAATATATAAAGAATTTTCTTGCAATTTTCTTATATATATATATATATATATATATATATATAAATAATTGGCAACCCATTCGTCGAAATAAAAAATACAGTTGAGAAAAAATAATTTTCTTCATTATTAAAGGTTTCGACACTTAATGTGTGCTATCATTCAGTAATCACCAGGATAAAAAACAATATTAAATATAAAATTTATTTTTTGAAAGAAAATTTAACACAAAACTAAAAATTTTAGGCTCCTGATAGGCTTTTAGGCTTTTTGATTTTAGGCTCCATGATGAATTTCAAAAAAGGACTCTTTTATCTAAAAGTTTAGTTTTGTTTTAAATTTTTTTCCAAAAAATAATTTTTATATTTAATATTGTTTTAAGTTTTGTGCTTTTATCCTGGTGATAACTGAATGATGACAGACATCAAGTGTCGATACATTTAATAATACAGAAAGCTATTTGACAAATGATATGTAAATATAAAATATAAAATTTGTTTTCATATTTCTCATACCAGACACCCCTGCCTGACTGTGATATGAAAATAATATATAAATAAATAAATAAATAAAAACTATATTTTTTTATTTTGACGCCCAATGCTAATTATTTAGCAATTTGTTTCAATATATATATATATATATATATATATATATATATAATATTGATCATTTTTTATTACTTGAAGATTGTTGCAAATGTCCTAAACAACTCAAATTACATGTACCGATTCCAAGTACTGTTCGCAAAAACATATTTTGATTCTCAGTGAGATCATTCTGAACTCACAATCATGAACCATAATTCATAATTATTGTCAGAATTGAAATAAATTTAATTTATATGTTTTTTTTTTTGAAGATAACGACTCTAGTTTTTATATCGTAGTCAGTTTTTATCATAGCATATCGAAATACGAACAAGAACCGGAATTTAATATGATTAAATAGATCGTAGTAGGCAAATCGTTAAATATGGCAACGATTCGAATTAAGACTTTACTGTTCGATGAACCAGCAGCAAAGTTTAGCAGTAGCACTGACCTAGAAAGACCGTCTGAGAATCGCTCCTTATTAACAATTTGAACCTAAATAAAACTGCGCTTTGTTAATTCTTCTGCCATTTCAACTGCACTCGTATTGAGCAAAAGGGCTTGAGTAACAATGATCACCACAGTTTTTAAAATTACATACGTAAATAGTTTGGAATCCATCATTTCTAAGACGACCTTTGATACACATTTTGATTTGATTTGATGAAAGAAAATAATGAAGTGCGTTTCAAACTGGTTTATTTCGTGCAATAACTATTAATAACTAAACTAAGACTTGTTTTTAAGTGTAATGTATTCTTATGAAATCAGTCTAGTCACGCATAATGATTTAATTTCTTATAATGTTAAATTAAATTAAAAATTTACAAATTGAAGCATTATGGGCATGCAGAATATCTAAGTGTGAAATATTGCTAATAATCATCACAGCAGCATAGAGCTTATAGAATAACAAAATTTTTATATCTGTCCAAAAACAAATATAAAAGAAGGTTAATATCACCCTAAAGCAATTTATGAAATTGTTTCATAATTTTATTTAAAGTCAAAATTTGTTCAGAATTTTCTGTTCAAATGTTCAATCTGTATCTATATATACAGGGTGTCCCAAAACTCAACATAATTTCAAAACGGAGTAATAAATAAATAAATAAATATATTGACCTTATTTATATATTGATGTCCTGAAAAAATATAGGAAAAAAATTATCTAACGTCATATGGAAACAATGAGCTTTTAAATGCAACCTAGAGCTTTAGCAAACTTGTGACTATTTTTCAGTCGTTGTGGTGGATTTTTATTACCTCTGTTCATTTAAACTTTGGAACCGTAACTTCAAACAACATTTCTAAGATCACAGTAAAAAATAACAACACAACTGCCCCAAGTTTTCAAGAATAAAGACATTTTGTTGAACTATGAATTTAAAATTATTAAAATTGGTGAACTTTGATAAGTCCTTTAAAAAAAACTGTACTAAAGTATATTGGCAAGTTTCATCAAAACTTTGCGTTTTTAATCAGGATTATAAAATGGTAAAATACCTGATAATAAAAAATAGAGTAAAAAAATAAAACTAATACTATCACTTCGTTTCGGATTGACGTATATATATATATATATATATATATATATATATATATATATATATATGCGTAGTATTTTGATTAGTTTAATTTGGTTAATTAACCAAGATACCCACAATTTATTTACAGCAACCGCTCCATAAAGAAAATATTTGCGTTCTCAAACTCACATTATTTATTTACATTCGCTAAGTTTTGCTGTTTATATATTTACGCGAACAATATAACTGATAAGAAACAGTAATTTTATTAGTCTAATTATCTTCGCAGAGAAGATTTCGATCTTGTGTTAATATTATGAAACAAATCTTAGCAGACCATGTTAAGGTGTGAAACAATATTTTTTTGGGATCTGCACCAAATGGGTCGAAATGGAATACTGTCTTTTTGCTGTCCTTGAGGCAGCTTAATGAGCCTGATTACAGTAACAGTGTTAAGCTGATATTTTTTTTATTCAAGATTTGATCATATCACATAAATCATTAACCATAGATAGAAACGCTTTATGTATTAAAAACAATCATTGAAAATTAGTGAGTTAGGACGAAGAAAGTGATTTCACTATAATAGTGTTGTGTCATGACCCTATTTAATTATGTTACTTTTAAGTAGATATTTATGTTTGTGTAGCAAGGTGCATCAAAGTTTTCATTAAAAAGCTGTAATTTCGGTATTTTACACTTAAATAAAATATCACATCATTAATTTACTCTAATGATATAAACTAATTACAATTAATTATATCCACGTATCTTGCAAAAATTTAGTAAAATCCATATAACTATATAATCCAATAATATAGTTTTGTAATATATATGGAATTTTCTTCATTCAACTAAGTATTCTATTTTTTCGCGGAATAAAAATATTGAAATTTTTATTCCACTATTTCACTATTTTCATTAGATTCTAATAAAAAAATTTACAAAAAACAATTTATCTAGTTCCGTATCGCACGAGTTCATTTTTGTCAAAACTGGTTCAATTTTGTCTATAGATTTACATATAGTAATAATAATTTATACAAGAGTTGTGTTGTATTATATTCTTTTGCAAGCAAAAGTAAAATATATATGATCATTTATTTACTAATCCAACTCTAATGAATTATGCTATATTAAATAAAATTATACAAATTAGTTAAATTTTAATCAATTTTATAATGAATATATGAATTGATAATGATGAAAATTCATTATTTAACTTTTACAATTCGGCAAGTAGATTTTTAAAGTTTTTTATAGATAATAATTTTTTCATAGTAATTTAACAATATTGTGTTTATATATTGAAAAACTTTGACATATAACCTAAAGAAAAGTATTAGTTGGAGAAGAATATAATATTCCCATTAATATCTTTAAATAGTAATAATATCAAACCGTTTAATCAATTTTTTACATTTATTACAATTTAACTGTTTTTTTTTATTTATTAACAATGCAATCAATCATCAATCAATGCATTGATACAATGAATCAATGCTTTGATCTAAATAAAAATTGGGTTATTTAAAGGAAACCTTATAGTGGCGAATTATCTTTATATTTATATGATGAATGAAATATAAACTAACTTTTTAGAACTAACGAGAAATGTTTTTTGTATTATTGAACATTTTTGGATTGGTAAGATTGAAATAAAAAATCAGTTGTATTGGACCTTATACTTATAGAAATGAAAATTTATTTTCTAAATGATTTTTCATATTCTTTTATATTGTGGTTCTAAACAAATAAATTGTAAAGTTAAACGGCGCAATTAGTATATATATATATATATATATATATATATATATATATATATATACGAGGTCTGTTCAAAAAGTACCCGGAATTTTCGTTTTTTCAAAAAAATATTTATTTATTCGTCTACATTAATGTGGTCCCCTTCAAAGTAGTCCCCCCCAGATATAATACACTTATGCCAGCGTTTTTTCCAATTTTCGAAGCACCCTTGATATTCACTTTTTGATATGTCCTTGAGCACTCTCAGCGATTTTCTTCAATCGAGGAAAACCGCCGTCCTTTCATGGGTCTCTTCAACTTTGGGAATAGGAAAAAGTCACACGGAGCCATATCTGGTGAATTTTTGCACTTTGCAACACTTTATTTCATTTTTTACGCAAAATTTAATACAAATTCTTTGACTTTTCAATTCTTCCATTGTAAAAATCGCCGAGCTCAGAAAAACACGTCGAACCTTAGCGACTACCACAGACAAAGTAAACAGTGAATATAGCTGAAAATTTCATCATACTTTAGGGGCATGTATACCAACACAATAAAAAAAAAATTTGACAATCAGACACTCCAGACCCGCGAAATTTAATTATTAGTAATTCCGGGTACTTTTTGAACACACCTCGTATATATATATATATATATATATATATATATATAAACTTTATCATTAA